AGAGTTTGACTTTGCACCCTATTTGTACAATCATTAACATATGCATCCTAATTAACTATAAAATCATTGACTTTGCACCCCGCTTTTTCAAAATTATTGGGCTGATCTGATATTCAAATTAATGATTTTGAAAATATGATGCAAAGTCTAATATCACTCAAAACATGAGGTGTTAAGTCAAATTCTTCCTAATAATATTATTATTGTATTAATATTATTAAATTAATTGCCAAATATATTAATAAAACTTTGGCGAAATGCAAAAATAAGACACCAAGTTTTTTTTGTAAAGTGAACGGCTATTAGTCATTTTTTTTATTTTTTAAATTGACTTTGGCCATTGACTATGTCAAACGGCTTGTACTTATGTCCCAAATAAATGTTTATGTTTATTATTCCGGCCGGTCAACGTAGGGGATGCACTTTTGAAACAATAAGAGCATATCTAATGGTTGCTTTTAGGGACTTGTTTGCAATTTTGAAGCTACTAGCCTACCATTGGAGCATTACTCTTCCATTTGTTTGAGAAAGCTAATTAGCCTAAATGAGCTACTAGCTTAAGCAAGAAGAATTATTTAATACTATATTATGATAAATAATAAATAAAGAGAAAAAAGTCTTAGCTAACCATTGGAATATATTTCAATTTTACTACAAATGCTTATATGGCTAGTTAAGCTGTGAGGGTAATTAGTGAACCGTTGGAGATGCTCTAATAGGTGCACATGCCCCCAATAAAATTTCACTTTTACCTATAATATACGGAGTAAATGATTTTTACATAATGCTCTCATTAAAAAAATCTAGTATTCTAGTATGCCCCCATTAATTTTTTATTGCACGCCTCTCCACTTCGAAATTTATTTTACACAATTGTACTCGTAGTTTTTATATAAGTATTTACTTGGTAATTTTACACAAGTTAAAGTTTTTTAATACTCCTTTTTCATTTCATTTAATCTTTTTCGGAATCGATTCTCTATTTGATATGAATTGTCTCTCTTCTAAACACATTTTAACTACAACGTTTTCATCTGCTAAAAAAGCGTACGTACAAATTAAAGGAAAATATATACATAAATTAGCGATGATGTTAGTAATGTTTTAATATAAATCTTTTCATTTTTATACACTCTCCCTGTAGTTTTTTTAAGAATAGAGTCACATAAAACTGATAAAAGTTATTTTTTTATCATTCATCATCAAACTGCCCTTTATTTTACCAATTCGGTAATTTGGCCCATAAGTTACCGAGTAATATATAGAGCCAATAAATTACTTCCAGGATGAAAAGCTGAATGTTGTGGTACCTAGATATATATGAAGGTATCATACCTATAATACAATATATATATATATATATATATATAATTGATTGATCCTAGTCAGTACAAACTTCGTCATTATTTAAATTATTCAATTGTAATATTCTAATTGATTGACGTAAACAAACTATGATATCTTAAGGCTACCCTAGAATTTTCCTTAAAAATATTGCATTTACTTATTAATACACACCTCTCTCCCAAAAAACATAGTTCTCCATATCATTTTATATATATATATATATATATATATGTATAATTTTATATACTAGTAAATATTATAAACATTTACTCGGATATGTAAACTACAAAAAATTATTGCTCGGTATCATCAAATTAAATAGTACGCATTATATTTGAATTAAAAACAAATTCTTCCAAATATAAAAAGCCCCAAGTATTGAAGTTTAGTTAATTTGGACAAAAACGTTTTGGACTTTTAAAATAAGAGCAATTACTACCAATTTAATTTGAGAATAATAATATTGACAATAATTACATTTTAATTTGAGAATAATAACATAATAATCATATTTCGAAATTCACAATGTTTTTTACTTGTTTTTAGAACAGTTTCTTAATATTAATACAACACTCACTAAAAATGGTAATTACTGGTAGCAGCTTATTAATTAAAAACACTCATAATCTTCTTGCGTACTATCAGATCGACTTGGCAATGACTGAGTGATTGCATTTTGAGTAAGGAGTATTAAATAAAACATACGGAGTATAAATAAAGAGAATTAATATGATCAAAAAGAAAAAGAAAAAGGGAATACTCGGTACATTAAAACGGTCAAAAAAAAGGAACGTATAATAATGTTCACTCTTTTCTATTATGTTTCAATTAAAAAAGTTCTATTCACTTTTCTATTTACAGAATTACAGTGTATAAATTTTTGAAAATAACATTAACTAAAAATGATTCACAAAACTGCAATTAGATTATATTTTAAGAATAAAATAATGTTCATAAATGTAGAGAATCTATTAAATACTTAAGAATTTCACTCAATTTATTATGTTTCATAACAATGAAAACTAGTCATATTCCTTCGTACAACCCAAAAGTAGAAAGTGTATCTTACACAATGGGAAGGAGGGAGTATTAAACCAAGGTTGGTCACATTTTTGAAAAAACTAAAAACTAATCATATTTTTGTCTTTCCTTAGATGCACTATATGTATATGAAATAAAATATGAATTCATTTTAAACTATCTTGATAGTGTGAAATGATTTAATGTCATGAACGAAAGAATAACATATGAATACATTTTAACAAAATATCTTGTAATGTCTAATATTTATAAATATACTTCATAATTTATGCTCCGTAATATTTATAAATATACCCCCACAACTTTAAATATTTATGGAGCGAGAGCTCTACTCTCTAAAACTTCGATCCTCCTAAGGCGTGCCGCTGCTAGGTTAGTTTTCCGATTTTCGGCTTTGGGCTAAAGATCGAGAGCAACAGTTTGGAGACGGAGGCCTGAACGATTCCAATCCACTCGGTTGGACGTGAGGCGGAAGGTAGGGGATAAAGGAACGTCGCGGCTGGCCGATAGCTTTTTCGCCGTGAGCGCCGGGAGTCGAAAGTGGGCGAAGGTTGTTTTCATGGAGGATTTCGTTGCTTCGTATAACAGATTATCCATGAAGGACCAGGAGAGCGAGTTAAACTTCGATGAGGATACAGAGATTGATGCCGAGGAGGTGCAAGAACCGAAGCAATTTCCGGCAGTAGGGGTAGTCATCACGAACCGTAAAATTAAGCTTTCAGGATTTCAAGAGCTGATGACCTCGATCTGGAGGCCAGTGAAAGGTATGGCTATTAAGGAAATCTGCGAACGCAGGTATCTGTTAATCTTTAATCATGTTTTGGACATGAATCGTGTGATTGAGGAAGGCCCTTGCATTGGCTTTTTGAACGTGATTTGATTTTGTTAAAAGCTGTCCAGTCTGATGATATACCTGAATCAATGAATCTGTTTGAGGCCAGCTTTTGGGTACAGGTGCATAATGCCCCTATAAAATATAGGAATCTGAGATCTGCCAGGAAAATTGGTAACTATATAGGCTCATTTATTAAATTTGAGATGAGTCACTTTGATGGAAAACATAGTTCCTATCTAAGGATAAGAGTGAGTCTGGATGTTCGTCAACCTTTGAAAAGGGGCACAAAATTAACGCAGGATGGGGTGAAACATTGGGTTGATTTTAAATACGAAAAACTGCCCAGTTTTTGCTTTATTTGTGGTATTATTGGTCATTCTGACAAATTTCGTCCTTTGAAGTATGAAGAAGGTTTTGTAGCTGAAAAAATATATGGGGTGGAAATTAGAGCAGGTGGAAGGGTAAAGACCAGCCCTACAGGGTTTAATAAATGGTTATCCGATGGACCCTCTAGTTCAGATGGATATGCAGGTCAACGGAAGTCTGATCTCGGGAGAGAACACTCGGCTGAGTCCAAGGCTACCAAGGCTCCATTGAACGAGAGTGAGGATAAAGAGGATCCACCTGGGGATCTAAAGCGTAGGCGTACGTGGAAAGACCAGAATGAAGAAGGAGCGAATGGTGCAGGAATGGCTCTGGATGGGTCACAAAATGGGGAAGGGGCAGGTCTGATCTCATAGACCCGCCGTGCATCTTCTGGGTGGTGATGAAGAAAAAGTTTAGTTTCGGTGTTCTTTTATTTATATGTTTTGGTTACTTTAAATCTGGTTGCTTTGTTCTTTTTTGTTCTAATACTTTTTTTCATTGTGAGACTCTTGCATTAAGGTGGGGGGAGGAAGAATCTGCGGTAACAGTCATTAGCTCTAATTTGCCCAAAATTGGTCTAGCGAATTATACTACTTTTTTACAGGTGCTTAGCTCCCAGTCTCGGCCACGGGCGGACGGTTATTTGTGGTTTTTTTCTAGTTCTGTACCCTTGCTGAATGCTATTTTTATGAATTAAGTCTTCTACGAGCAAAAAAAAACATTAAATATTTATAAATATATCCCTGTATATAAGTATCATGGTCAATCCATTGTAAAATTATAACATTAGCTATTATGACTAAAATAGTTACTTGTATGGTCACTACGTTTAAGACGCCACTTTTTTGAAAATATAGTCATAACACATAAATATGTAATTACTTTTAAAAATATTATTACTAAACATGGCAAGGGTAAGATAGGAATAGGGATGTCAAAAAACCCGACCCGCAATGACCCGCCCTGGCCCAAGACATTTGGGGCGGGTCTGCCCCACCCCGTCTTGCAAATGGGGCGGGTCCGCCCCGCCCCGCCTATACAATGGGGCGGGTCCGGGTATTAGAATTGACCCGTGCCGCCCCGACCCCACTACAAGAATTTCGGATTTTAGTGGCGGAAATTCCGCCACGAATTTCGCCACAAATAAGCGTAGTGACGGATATTTGCGGCGAAAATGTCGCCACTGAAATCTTGACATTAAAGACCTTATTGGCGGCAATAGAGTTCCGCCGCAAAATAAACACGGAATATAGTGGCAGAATCGTCCGCCACTAAATTTAATGACAAGTTTTCCGCCATTAAATTCCTTCACCGAAATTATAACATTTTTTTAATATTTTGACCACTTTGGCAATAAAAGAAACTAAAAATATTCAGTGAATTCTAATAATCTAAAAATAATATGATTGTTATCACTATTATATATTGTCAACTATGTATACAACGTTAATTAGTAGCCAAACCACCATAATTAAAATATACGTAAACATGAGTTGGAGAAAATTAAGAGAAAAATACATAGCAAAACACCTCATTAAGAGAAAATTAAGTTCATACATAATCAAAATACATAGCAAAACACCTCATTAAGAGAATTCAGTTCATGCATAATTTAAAAATACATAACTAATGACTTGGAGATTCCGAGTCTTCTGAGTCTTCTGAGTCTTGGGACTCTTGGGAGTCTTGGGAGTCTTGGGACGAACAATGAGATGACGGGAAAAAGGTTGGTGGATCCATTCCGTGTTCCTTGAAAAATGAAACCCAAGTTTTCTCAAAATTCTTTAAATGTAAATCAGGATCTTCAAGTTGCAATCTAGCATCAAAGGGTGGCATTGGGAGTGGGCACTTTTCACCTTGTGATCCAAACCATGTCCTCAACCATTCATCCCATGCAAGACAAATATCATGTGAGCGCCGTGAAGATGATGAACGCCCTTTGCCACTTGTTTCAAGCTCAAGAAGGAAAGCTTTTGAGTATCTTCCCGTTCCAAACACTCTCTTCCTTTTGCATCCAACTGCTTCTAAGTATTTGGAATTCCACTCACTTGAGGTAATTTTACATGCATTAGAGATCTCGGTTCCATTGTTAGATGATTGAGAATTTTGAATATGCTCTCGAAATGCAGCCGACAACTTCAAAACAGCCTCCTACGTATCACAAATAATACATTTTGTTGAGGCAGATAAATAACATGAACAAAACAAATTGACAGAACTTAATGTTTCGTAGACAAAAAAACTGCTCATCTTGAAAGTTATAGCATAATAGAACAAACATGTTTGAAATAACAGAAGAAAAAGGCACACAGTTTATAGAAACAAAACTTGCTGGACTACAAAATAAAGCACGCTTCAATTAGCAGAAAATAGAGCATCATGTGTATGGGATCGGGATTCTCTCCGCACCCCTACGTAGTTGATTGGATTTTTAAAAATCATTATTAACTGTTTAGTGAAAAAAAGTAAATGTAGCATCATCTGTCAAATTGGCTACCTCATTAGAACTGAAGCCTGTAGCTCCCCCCCCCCCCCCCTTCCCAAATTGCCATGTCTGACTAAACTGGTATTCAACTATTCATTCACTAAAAAAACAAAACAACTAGTTTATTGATGGAAGTTACGGAGTATTATATTCACTGCTATGCTTAATTGTATTATTTATGAATTTGAAGCATCAAATCTTTGAACGTAATCTTGGGCATGTGCCATAACTAAGACTGATTTATCTTTTGTGCTTTATCTTATGGTATCACAGGAAGGAAAACCTCTTTTTCTGAATGTAGTAAGGAAGGCAGAGCAGATCATAGTTAACTAATACACATCATGTTTATTGTACCCACAATTGGGAATGATGAAGTATTGGAAATTTTGCAGATTTCGGATTAAGGAGTATTTGCCTATTACTGGATTGAAAGATTTCAATGAATTGAGTACTAAGTTGATACTTGGTGCGGATAGGTTTGAACACTATTCTGCCTACTTCATAGGCAAATATCGCTAACTCATGCAAGTTTGTTTTTCTTATGACATTTATAATTAAGAGTGCTAAGTTTTATAACATCCTCATGCTCAGGAAAACATACCATACACATGCTAATAAAACTTGCTCGGGCAGAAAATGTGATCTTATGAATATATACAAAATCCAATATTTCATCATTTGTACACATGCCAAACAACACCATTTCATCTAACTAAAACAACAATAATCTGCCCAAAAAAATGCAGTATAACAAGCTTTCCTAATGAACTACAAACATGCAATCTCTCATATTTGAATGTAAAACAACTTGCCCTTGTCAAATCAAATAAATACATTATTATTTGATCACACTTAATACACATGCAATCTCCCAAACTAAAAATGTCATAAAGTGGAACTATATTTTTTACCTGAACTTCTGATTGCGGGTGAATGATCTCCCCATTCTTCCTCTTTGTTGGGTGGTACGTGTCACTAAGCTTGAGAGGATTTATGGCCACACCTGTGACTCTCAACTAAAACAAATTTCATATGTTTCAATCAGTGATGTAACTATATATATTTTTCCTTAAAAATCTAATATTTTTAAATTATTAAATTGACCTCTCGTGCTGCCATATCAGTTGCTGCTCGTGATCCGCCGTACTGCTTGCACCTATCTCCACCGATCATACGATTCTTCTTACCCGACTCAGACGACCTCCTATACTGCTTTGACCTTTTGTACTCCTCAAGAACAGCCCACGTGAAATCGTTCACAGTCGGAGGCCGTTTTTTCGTTCTAGTTTTATCAATGACTTTGCATTATTTTCTTAATTCAATATAGATAAGTTGAAAGCTAAATACCATTTATTCTGTTTACCTTATATAATTCAGTACATTGGAATAAGCATGTTGTCGCAAATAGTGTTCATAACCTGCCTTAATGTCTTCAGCATCATACTTGGTAATATCCCAATTAACTAAATCCTATATGCAAAGAGGAAGAATGTTAAAGTCTCAAGACTTGTATAAACTGTTCTATTATATTTCTCTACACTGTTTAATCATAATTTTTTTTAAAAAAGTAGAATTGTTTTATAAAATTGTTTAGTTTACACAAATGGATTTAGTTGAAGGAGTTACAAATTAAATGTGACTCCTTTAAGTTAGTTGAATAAGTTATAAACTATCTGACACTGCAGTTCATATTTTTAGTTAAAATAAATAAACCTGAAATTGTTCCCAATAGAGCTGTTTTGTTTTCTCTGGGACCCACTTCCATCGTTGACCGGCCGGATGCAGATTATATTTGATCTGCTTAGAAACAATGCCTTGAAACGTCAAACATGTGTCGCCCACTGGTTCATTAATAAGGCTGCAATAATGTGTTTTAAAAATATGTTATTATAAATATACGATAATAATAAGAAAAATTATATGTAGTATAAAACAAAAAGAATTTAATAATTAACTCACTCTCCTGCAACATTTATACCAACACATGGTCTTTCAAATCTGGACACCGAAATGGTTCTAAAATGGTCCAACGGTTCTACACCCCACATGAGATGATTGTATGGATCGGGTTTCCACGCAATAAGCTCTTGTTCTGCATCTTTAGCATGTGATTGGTCATAGCCTTCTGTTAGATCGTCAATCGTGTTTGGCGAGTTTTGCTGATTGAGGACAGTTGGCGTGTCATTTGGGTGGTTTAGGAAATCAGAAACGTTTGGTTGTTGGTTACCAGTTGGAGCAAGACTTGGTCTGGTACGACGAGCTGCATTGTATTGTGAAGGAGGTGGTTGATAAAGCTGTGTTGTTTGTCCCATATGGATGTCGGTGTTTCTGCCCATCGCATTACCATCGAAAGAAATGGGTGGAGACGGTGTTGAGTGGCCTGAACTACTTGACACCTCTTTCGCCAAAGTGATTGGTTTACTTTTCTGACCGGCACTCCCAAGTCCTTTAAATGCACCACCCAAACTGCCAGATACCTCTTTGGCCGTAGTTCTTAGTTTATTGTTCTGCACACCAGCCCCCAGTCCTTTAAATGCAGTCGTCTTGATAACAAAGTTTTTCCCATGCATAGTAGAAGGCGGAGATGTTATTGATAACTCTGTGGTTGGACGACCTGATTTCTTTTTCAGCCCTGCAGCACCTAGTCCCTTAAAAGATGTCATATTTTATTCCCTTATCTTCAAAGTAAAGACCTGTACTTTGAATAAAAGCATATCAAAAAGTAAGTAATTGAGAATGCCTCTAGCAAAAAGTGCACAACACAGAGAGACATAAAAGCTGAGGAAACCAACAACATTGGACTATTATTTCATTCTACTTAAGAAGCTAAATAAAAACATTAAAAACTGTAAAACTAAAATCTGTAAAACATAAGAAGATAAATGAAAACTGTAAAAAATACAAATCTAAAAACATTGGAAAAAACAACATTGGAAAAAAACAGCCTGTGAGTAGCATTATAAAAAGCAGGAGTGGGCCTAAACTCTGTAATGGTCATCCTCCTTATGGGATGGGCAAGAAAAATACGAAGTACTTCAGTTAATTCCCTCGGTAGATTTTTCAAAAAGCAGGGGTGTGACTAACAGTCCTATTATTCGAACACATTAAACTAATCCAGAGTAGCCCAAGCTATAAAAATAAAGATATAAAACCAAAAAAACTAACAATAAAAAAACCCAAAAAAAACTAGAATAAGGTGATAGAAAACTGAACAGTTCAATAACAAGATGGAAAACTGAAAGGTATCCAAATTAAAAGACTGAGAACAATAGATTAATTTCATAAAAGTAGTAGTAAACCAGATTAATTTGATTTGAGATATGTTAGGTATAAATAGAGGGATTTCATAAAAGACAAACCTGTGAGAGGTGAGCCAACCGCATAGAAAAGATGAATGCCGCCTCAGAGAAGATTTCAGCTTGCCGCCTCAGAGAAAATTTGCCCTAGAGAAGATGAGTGTTTCCAGCAGCACTTTTGGGGGTTTTAGTTGGGCAGAGTTTAATTTGGGCCGAGAATAGGGCGGAAAAGTGGAGGGTTTTTTTTCAAGAGAGGGAGATTTGGTGAAAAAGTGGAGGGAAATAAAATTTTGGGGAGCCTATTTAGGGGGAAAAAAATGTAAACACACTACACAAACAAGTTGATTTGGCCATTTGGGTCGAGACTAAGGCGGAAAAGTGGAGGGATTTTTTTTACAAGGGAGGGAGATTTGGTAAAAAAGTGGAGGGAAATAATATTTTGGAAGAACTATTTAGGCAAGTAAAAAATGTAAACATACTACACTAACAAATTTCCTTAATTATTATTCCCACCATTGTCACTACCGTCATGCTCGATGTCATACTCTCCCTCTAATGCGGCATTCATATATTCCGGAGCATTCGAAGTGACAAAATGATCACCGCGGTCATCCATGTGCTGATGTATTGTAATATCGAAGCCTGTTTCAAATGAATTGCCGGGTTCATTTTCTTGGAATGGTAACGGTTGTTCATCTATGTGAGTTGAACTCCCCGCCAAGACTTTCTCCACAAAAGCTCGTGGCAAACAATGAATAATAGACAGCCACTTGTTGGTCCTTGTCTTTGCAGTTGGATATGAGACATACACAACCTGATCAGCTTGTGATGCTAAAATATAGCAATCTGAAGTAAATGAACTCAGCGTGTGGAGTTGAGATGTAGTTGTCGATTACAAGGAGAAAGGGGCTGCTATTTATAGCAGCAATAAATGCGATGAGAGTACACGTGTCAGTAATCCAACGGCCGAAGGGTCACATCAGTCTGGTGGCACCGGCAGTGGTACGTTCACCGCATTGAATGCGGTTGGCGGATGTGACGTGGCATTAAATGCGGTGGTTGGCTGTCTCCAAAAGGAATCTTCGATGATTGAGCTAGTTCAGCCGAAGGCTCCTTGCGTAGCCGAGGGCTCCTTGTGTAGCCGAGGGTTCCATGTGGCAAGGACCCTTGTGTGGCCGAAGGCCCCATGTGGCCGAAGGCTTGGTTCAGCCGAAGGCTTCTCTGATGCCGAGGGCATGACAATGCCGAAGGCTCATGTTTTCGAACGTTTTCTCCCAGCAGCTTCTTATGCCAAAAAGGCTATCCTGTGAGTTCTAGAGCCTTCGGCCAAGGAGGCCGAAGGCATCCCAGTGTGTATTCTGAGCTACTTTGAGGCTTGGGCCGTTGTATTTGGGCCTTAGTTGTTTCCTGGGTTCAATGGACTTGTGTAGGAGAAGTAGGAGTCTATGGGCCGGGGGTTCCTGGACCATATACTCCATCAGGAGTCCCTCACTCCTTTTGCCGAAAGGTACTTGAGGGAAAAGGAGTAGTTGTTTTGATTCTTCCGGAGGCTTCATCGTTTCGCTAGGTGCCTTTGCTGGAGAACTTGCCTTCTGCTGAATGCTGAAGGCTTCCCTCAGTCCCCCACATGTCGAGGGTTTCCTGAGGGAGGTATGACACCTGTATGACTGCCGAAGGCTTTCCTCAGTCCCTCACATGTCGAGGTTTTTCTGAGGAAAGCATAGGTGTATTGCCTGCATGTGTTGTGATGAGGGCTGCTTCGTTTCCGCAAGTGACTCGGGGAAAACTTGTGAGGAAAGCATAGTTGTTCGCCCGGAGGCTATATGCGTTACTTGCAGATTTCCGCTTGAGGGAATTTTGCATTTTGTTCTGTTGTGATGCCCGAGGGGTGTATCCTAGTCCCCCACTCCTTTAGGCCGAAGGCGAGTTCGGGCTGAAGGAGTTATGATGAGTTGATGAGCCCCCGAGGGGTGGTAACATTGATAAGCCGAAGGCTTATGTTGCTACGGGCTCGAAGGCGTCTGGTGAAATTTGCTGGCAGAAGGGTGTGGTGAGCGATAGCCGGAGGCCATCATTCGAGGGCGCCCCCAGTATTGACGAAATATAGTCGTTGTAATATAGCCGTTGGAAGAGGGGTTGACGTGGCCAGCTGGCGTTGGCTGGCGGTGGGCGGGAGTCACCCATTGGCTGAACCGGCGGCCCGTAATGATGGGCTTTCAAATCGAGGCCCATATATCGAGGCCTAGTTGCCTATAAATACCCTGAGCCTGAGCTCATTTGTGCTTGCGCGATTTTGAGAGATAGCGAAGCTCTGGCAATTTGATTCTAGAGAGAGAAAGTTTCCCTCGATCAACCCAAGCTTCCTGAGGTCAGTTCCTCTTCTGTTGCTTTCTTCCTTAGTATATTTTGCTTCCCATTCCTTAGATCTAGTGTTTTGAGCCTTCGTCTAGAACCCCTTTAAGAACATGTCTTCCGAAAGCGACTCTCAAAACATATCGGAGGAGGCCCCGGCACAATCCGACAGCTACTCGGACACGGGGTCATCAAGTGAGGGGGCCTTGTCGAATAATGACTCCGAGGTGGCGAGGGAGATGCAAAGAAATCTTCATGCCGAGGCCGAAGCTGAAGACTTCGAGCAGATCGCGGAGGACGAGGAGATGGCCCTCGCACTTCAGGTAGCCGAGGAGGAGGAGAAGGAGAGGCAACGAGTTACCGTTGCTGTTCTGCCACTGCGGAATGCTGGTGATTGACGCCGTGCCCCTTCGGGTAGCTTCGGGGAAGAAGAGGAAGAAGCAGAAGGCTGTCCCGAAGAAGAAACAGGCTGCGGTAGATGCAGGGCAGCCGGTCGGAATTCCCGAAGGGCATTCCTACCTCAATACGGCCGCACTTGAATTGAAGACGAAGGCCGGGGAGGCAGAATACCTCAAGACCCAACTTCTGGTCGGGCCGTCGGCACAGGTGGTGGAGCCAGGTCCTGATGACGTGCTGCTATCCCCCCCCCCCCCCCCCCCCGAAGGCTGCTTTGCCGTGCATATCCTCTCGGTGGAGTTGGGCCTCCGCTTCCCTTTGCACCCCTTCGTTGTGGAATACCTCCGGTTCGTAGGCCTCGCTCCCTGTCAGTTAACCCCTAACAGCCACTCATACCTGGCGGGGTTCCTCTCTCTGTGTGATTCCCGGGGGGTGGAGCCTTCCCTTGACCAGTTTTTCCTGTCCTTTAATCTTTGCCGAGGGGGGGCTGCCAACAGCGAGGGCTTCGCCAATCTACAATAGCTGCCGTCATGGAGGCTGTTCTCTGAAGTGCCCTCGTCTCATAAGGGATGGAAGGACCGCTTTTGTTATCTAAGGATGCCGGGAGCTTCTTTTCCGAGGCCCCTTCGCAACCACTTCCGGAGACACCCCAAGGTTGGTAATGCCGCTCTTGAGGGCAACGGAAAGAAGCTAACGGCGAAACCGCTGGGTTCCCAGAAGTTGACGACCATCAAGGTCGCAACGCTCCCAGAGGAGCTGTTCAAGCTGGAATTCCGGCGGTACCGCTTGCCAGGGGAGAAGGATGAGAGATATCCTCTCATTGACCGGTGCTTCCAGGATGCCGGAGGTTGTTACCGAGGGCCCCTGGCTTTGGTACTTAGTAACTTTTGTCTTTAATCTGTTTTTTCCTCACTCTTCCTTGATCTTTGCAGGCAATAGCATGGACCCGAAGGCGTTTGCTAAGTTATCCAAACAACTGGCCAAAGACAAGAAGAAGAGAGACGAAGGCCCCCCGGCTCGGCAGCACGTGGACGCCTTCTTCAAGAAGGATAAGACCTCTGGGGGCGAGGGTCAAGAGAAGGTAGGGCCTTCCAAGGAGGCTGCTGCTGCCGATACCGGTAAAGACACCGGAGGCTCCCAGGCGGGAGAACTAAAGAGAAAAAATGCCGGGAAGGGCATCAAGCCTCCGGAAAAGAAGAAATCGAAGGGGGATGCTGGCCAGAAAGCTTCCCCTGTAGTGATTGTCGATGAGTCCTCCCCGGTGAAGCCCTCAAACTCCATCCCCCTGGAGGATCTTGGTGATGGTGCCTGGCCCCTGGAGACTATACATTTCCCCATCAAGAAGGGGACAGCCATTATGCATGGCACCCTCGACCCGAGGGAGTTTCTGAGGGGTGCCACTCCTTCTCTGGATCGGTCCACCCTTAGTAGGATTGAGGACGAATCCCTTGAGCTGAAGGCTCTTCAGGCCTCGGTCACTGTAAGTGTCCAGACCCTTTCTACTTTATGTTTCAGTGCTCCTTCCCTTCACATAATTTGACCTTGGCTGCCCCTTCGTTTGTTTGCAGGCTAGCGTGGCCTTCGGAGAGCTTGTCAGGAGGGCGGAACAACACCGCCTCGAGAAAGCGAAAGCCGATGAGGTTACGAGGAAGCTCGTTGCCAACAATACTGAGGCTATCCGGCAGCTGGCCTGTTTGGAGGAGGCCCTTCGGCAATCCGAGCAGAAGCTGGAGGCTGCGAAGAGTGAAGCTAGGGTCGAGGGCATTGCCATAGGGAAGGCTGAGGCAGAGAAAGCCGCTGCTGAAGCCGCCAAGGTAGCCGCTGAAGAGGCCGACAGAGTAAGGGCCGAGGCCGTCGCCAAAGCTGCGGAGGATTCCATAGCCTCCTTCCTTGATGAGGGATGGAAAGCGGAGGGCCGAGAGCAGTGGAGGGCTTCGGTGGTAGAGGCATCGGCTGATGCCTGGGTGAAAGGCCCCGGGGCGATGTGGTTGGCCCTGAAGGGCAAAAGTTTTTATGAGGGCGGCCAATACTTCACCCAGGCCATGCTCTACCGAAAGCTGGCTCGGCATCATGGGGTGGAGCCGAAGGATTTCAAACCGGAGAACTATGGCCTTCCCCCTCTTCTTCCCGACGTGAGAATCCCCTTACCTGAGGGCAAAGAGAGGCAATTGCTCGAGGACTCAGAGCTAGCCAAATGTGATTCTGATGATGACGGAGCCGAGGAAGATGCCTCCTCGAAGCCGAAAGGGGACGTCGTGGAGGAAGCTTAGACTTAGGAATTTTCCAATTAAAGTTTTGCAGTGGTTTGTAATAGCTTTCGGCTCCGGCCTGACATTGTAATGAATATCTTTTGTACTCTTAACATTGTTTCTTCCCCATGGTGAATGCTTCTCCTCCGGGCTTCTTGATATGAATGCTTCTGGTTACTTTCTGTAATGTCTTCGGCATTTGCTTACTTGCTTCTGTGTATGATTGTATGCTTTTCCTTTTGTCTCATGTGTCTGATCGAAGGCCACGAGTTTGTGGACTTAGAAAATTTTCTAAGTAAGAACTTTGTC